CAGTTTCGCAGTTCAATCATAGACAGGTAGGCCTGCTGTTCATCAATCTGCTTGTGTAGTGGCTTTACTTCTTCCTCTAATGCTTGAACTTTCTGACTGACTTCCACAGCTAATTTGCGATTTTCTGTGGTGGCTTCCACAAGATTTCCAATTGTTTGAGCATGCTGAGCAACTTGTTCAGTTAATTTATTAACACTGGCTGTGGCTTGGTCAATTTTAGCTGAATGTTCATCTGCCTTTTTATCCAAACTTTCCAATTTTCCCAATATTTGATCTAATACTGAGGCACCGCCTCCAGAAGTCGCCCCCCAAATTTACTTTAGAGCCCCCCGCCCAACCCTCAGGGGTAGATGTTGAGTGTGTGCAGGGGGCTCTAGGGAGAATGAAAAGAAGGTGAAGTTCCACAGTGTGAGCAGACCTCCATTTTTCCCCACACATGGGCAGCATTGCATACAACCACATATATTTAATAAAAAGCACACTGAAGTTGCAATCAGATGAGTTCCATAAGAGATTCAAAGGATCTTTTGTTGATGCACAACGAAATAGCAAATGTGGTTTGGTGTACATATATGTTGAGCAAGCACAGTGGGGCAAAAATAAATAAATCCTAAATTCACATATTTAATGATGGCAGTGACTGACCAGGAAAGAGAGCTTGGGATCGTGGTAGGTTAGCAGCTCAGTGAAAACATGGTTAGTGTGTGGCAGTAGTGAGAAAGGTAAATTCCATGCTTGGGATTAGGAAGAAAGAAACTGAAAATAGACCAGACAGCATCATAATGCATTTTTATACATCTATGCCGTGGCTGCAACTGGCATCTGGTGTTTAGTTCTGATCACCACATCTCAAATATGAAACAGTAGAGCTAGAAAAAGAATAAAAAAGCAATCAAAATCATCACAAGTTTGAAGGAGCTTGCCTATAAGAAAAGGTCAAGTGTTGAGTCCTCATAGTTTAGGGGGGGGGGAGGGTGAGGATGGACTGACATGATACAGATTTATAAAATAACCCACGGTGTGGATACCATTTCCCCCCTTCCTTTCCCAAGAGTCATGCAATGAAGATGGTTGTTAGAAGATTCAGAAGAGAGAAAAGAAGATGTGGTGATGACCACTAGTCTCGATGTCAGGGACAGCACTTAAATTTATGGAGGATCAATATAGGCAACGATTCGCCCCACAGATGCCCTGCAGAAAGACAGAGGCATCTTCCCTCTTAGTGCTTTGGTAGTCTCAGTGCCAATCTTATTATAATGTTAGAAAGCAGAATGTGATATTGCAATAAGGAATTGAAATTGCCAGGGTGGAGGTGGGGGCTTACTTGTTTCTTTTTTAAAAAGGAAGGAAAATTATACTATGGTGGTGGAGGGAAGAGCACACACCCATCAAAAGACAACCCCCCCCATGTTCTTTTTTTAAAAAAACTTTTCATCTCTTTATTTATTTTAACCAATTTTTAATTGGTTTCTAAAGAAATACAAATACATTAACCATTAAACACTTTCCAGCAGTACATCTAATGGTGTTTGTTTTATCCATTGTCTCTAGACATACAGCGTTGTATTGCTAAAGGAGAAATGGTAGCCTCATACTATGGGACTACATCACGCTCACTATTGGTTAAACTAAAACAAAAAACCCCACCACCACCTCCTGCAAGAACTGTTCCAAAGTGTGTCCAAGCAGCAGGTCTCTCATGAAAACTTTACAACGGAGGTGACAGAAACACTTTCAAATCACAATGGGCTCAGAAAGGGCCATAGCTCAGTGGTAGAGCAATGCAGAAGATCCTAGGTCTAATCCCTGGTATCTCCAGAGAGGGCTGGCAAATGACCCTTCTCTGAAAGCCCAGAGTGGGCAATCCTGAGCTCAATGGATCAGTGGCCCATCTTGGTACAAGGCTGTTCCCTTTGTCCTTAGCGCTTTCTGGAGTAGGGCTTTAAAAAAAAAATCTGCAGGTGTTTGAGAGGCGCTATGAACCCCCTGAAAACCCAGTTACAAGTAAAGTTGGGGCTCTTCTACAGCTGGGGGAATGGAAGGATACAAGTCACAGATAAGAAGATCCAGGTAAACTGCACAAACCATTGAAGTGGTAATCCTGTCTATGTACACTTACCTAGAAATACGCTCTGTGGAACAACTGAGAGTGGTATTCAAAGTTAGTGCTACACAGAGTAGACCCATTGATGTTAATGGACACAAACAGTGGGTTCATTAATTTCAACAAGTCTACTCTGAACACAGCAGAACACATTGTAAATGTGCATAAGATCAGGTGTTAGCGTGTTTTAGATCATAAAAGTATCAAGTACAATTTGGGGTGAGGGGAACCCCCCCCAAACCTCTTGGCCTTACTTCCATGTAAATGTGTTTGGACCTGGAATGCCCATCCTTAATATCCTTATATCAAAGTAAGCACCATAGAAACAGTTGATAGTAACAAACTAATAATGAATGCATTCAGGGTTAGGGTGTACTGTACTATTATCTGCAAACATTCTTCTGTGCAGCTGCAAACTGCCTGTGTAAAATCTATATCCAACTATTTAAGAACAGAAGGGAAACATTGGCTACTATTCAGCAATCTATAGCATCTATAGCATGAATATTAAAGGAGTCCCAAACTGGGTGGTATGAAGCATTCTCAAGGAGAAAATCCTGCAGGATATGGTGGGAGCTTTAATTTAAATGGGGGTTATAATGGACCTTCAGTTTAGAATTAGAATTAGAATTAGAAAGTTCTATTAGCAACTTTCTATTAGAATTAGAAAGTTCTATTAGCAAATTATTGGTACATACGTTAGATCACGGTCAATGTTCTTAGGATTAAGATTAATGGGACTGTCATCTACATCATCTAGAAATAGCTGCACAATCCTAACCTCGTCTTCTCTTAACTAAGTCCTATGGAATTCAATGAGGCTTACTCCCAGGGTTAGAATTGCAGCCTTAGTCTCTGTTTTTATTTAAATGAGATTGCTTCCAAAAATGTGCTTAGGGTACCATCCAAAACAGAAGTACATTCTGTTAAAATATTGGCATTTACTTCCAACATATTTTATAACTGATGTGTAAATCATCTTAAAGCCTAATATTTCAGTTGAGTTTGGACAGATAAGAGCATGATAAGAAAATCAATGAGATGCTTTAAAATGAGACATTTGTATTGGAAGGCTCCATAAAATTTTAACCCATAGTAAATACTATGCCTAGGTTATTAAGTATTAAATAGTCAAGTGGGTGAAAAACTCAAGAATGATTATATTTCATTTTATATGTGTTTATTTCAAAAAGCAATGAAACATACAATGGCAAATGGCAAAGCAAAGCAAATCCTTTAAAATACTGTTCTAGGATTGCAAAATAATCACAAATGAATTATTTGTAGTGTTGTAAACTAACATGCTTCTGTTTGAACTGTGAACGTCAAAGTCATCAAAGGTTAGTGCCTCTGCCTTGACTTTTCAGACCTGCAATATCTTAAACATGCCTAGTCATATTATTTATAATAGCTCATTTTACTTTTAAATATATTTATTTTAATCCAGCCGACGTTCAGACTTGCTGGTTAAGCTTGAGATGCACATTCAGCTGGGGTAAATTTATCTGTCAGGAGGAATATTAAAATGTTGCAAAGAAGAGCAAGGAAAACTCAGTCACAAAGAAGTTGTTTTACAAGCCATATGTTGATTAATATAATATATGTTGATTAATCCGAATCTTCTCCCCTACTTCCATAGATTGTGAGGCAAGGCAAATGAGATGAGTGATTTATCAAAGAACATGTATTAAAAGTATTCCAGGTTCTTATGTCAACCATCACTAGAACTATTGGTACGTCTAGTACATGAACAAATTTGAATATCTGAATTTAAAACTTTAGTCTAAATTATAACAGGGCAGGGTTCTTAACATTGCAAATATTATTCTGTCTTTCTTTATATAGAGGAAATCTCCTACAGTAGTTTACATTTTAGAAAGCTGCTTTGCTTAAAACAAAAATGTTGCAATCCATTTATTTCATTTTACTTTTTTATGTAGCACGCTGATTCCTACCGCTGGTGAATGCCAAAGTCTAATTTGTTTTCTTTTGAATCATTTCAAAAGCTACATTTTGAACCATTTGAATCATTTCAAAAGCTGAAATGGAAAAATAAACCACTTAAAGGCTCACTTGATTATGTTATTACATAAGACGTCTGCCTATCCTTCAAGGGTTATTATGCAGGATTCTAAGGACAGTTAGGAGAGAGTGGCTGTTTTTGTAATAAATGAATCCTGTTTCAACTTCAACATCACGAAAGTCAACAATACATTGTCTGCATTTGAGGATGTTCTGCCTGGCCTGGATCGCTTTTAGGAACTCCAGGAACGCTTCTGAAACATCAGTATCTGGGGGCATTTTTAAGCAGGGCTTTCCCCCCTATCAGCTTTACTAATTTCATCTGATATAATTACAAATATGCAGCTTGGGCATCATCAGCAATTGATTTTTTCCTATTTCAGATTCAGCCATTTCTAATGAGAAGTATAAACAAGCAAGAGATCCTTCCTAATAAATATAATGTGTATAATATATATAATGTATATAATATAATATAATATAATATAATATAATATAATATAATATAATATAATATAATTTATTTCCTTTTATTTCATTGGGTAGTAATTCTGTCTGCTTCCTTCTCAAGTGTACTGTAAACTATCTGCATGATGGTTCTGCTTGCTTTTCACTTTCAAAGAAAAACTGAACAGACCGTCTTCATATATCACACCATTCACTGTTGTGTAGATGCATTTGGAAGCCAACATCTACATACTGTAATTTTATAGCATTGCTGTTCGCATTGCACGTACAATTAAGAGCATTCCTAAATAGGCAGTAAAGGATCTTCTCTGAGATCGCTCCAAAGTAAGCATGATTTAAGTGCCACTTTCAACCAATTCTCCCGCAAAAGAAATATATAAAGATAATCAAGAACCCAAGGTCCTACCTTTCCCTGTGCACGTTGAGTTCCTAGATGGGATGCACTTCGCTCAAAAGCACACTGCGTCCTATAGTCTGTGATCAACACTACAGTCAAAGCATCACGCATGACCTCTCTATATATATGCACACAGCAGTCGCCACAACAAGTGGCTATCGAGAGTCCTACTTCATCCCCCTGTTTATCGAGTGAGGTTACTCATAGAAACAGATCCTTCAAGCAAACACTAAAACTCCATTGGGAGGAAACTGAATGATACACTTGGAGGAGGAGGGGGAGGAGGATCTTATTTTTGACATAGCAGATGAAAATACCCACAGCTATTGCACATACCATTTATTCTGTTAACCATGTAATATACATTGTCATTTTGACGTCCAGACTATTTCTCTTCTTCCATCACCTCCATGTCAATCCAATTCATTCATTCTTACCAATGATGAAATGGGGGCGGTGAGAGGAAACATGGACAGATTGTTATCCTAGATCCTGTATTTGCAGGACATTTTAAAACCAGCCAGATTAAGCATCGGGAAGATGTTAGCCTTGATAAAGGAAGCCCCACTGGCTTTCTGTCTCCCTGAGACAATGAAATCACATAGTTGTGTCTGTGTGTCTTTCTGTTTGGGATTGTTCTGTTTTAACACATAAGAGATTGAAGGTCGACTACTAGTCTTAATTAACTCAAGTTAAACTAATGAGGGTGGTGGGAGGGAGAGGGAGAGATTGAAGGTTGGGGGAGGGGTGGCTGCAGAAAGAAAACGGATCATTAACCAAGAAGGGTTCAGTTTCAGCTAAGAGTTAGGTGGAGGAATGGATACAGCCAGACTCCATTCTTAGCAGGGGGAAAGTTCGCTAAATGCTATTCTTTTGATGCTGTAAGTAAATATTTAACTTGCATCTGGGAGAAGCCATCAAAGACCATCTGGAGTTAAATTCCAGTTCCTATTTTCATTTGGATGCATTTCAAACTAGATTCCAAAGCCAAAGTCTTTCTACTATCCCTACTCTGCCCATTCTGCTTCACTTCAACACATTATTGTCCTTATGTGGAGGCTGTACAGGTTTATTTAAGAGCCATAACATCAAGCCCTGCCTGGCTATGGGCAACTTCTGTGATACATCCAAAGCCTACAGCACCGGCCTCCACTAGAAACCTCCAAGAGCGGTGTGGTTTCTCCACAATGCCTACTATCCATGTTGTCAGCAGCATGCCTTGTTTTGGCCTCTGAACAAAAAAAGAGAGAACTATTTTTCAGCATCCTTCATGCAGAGTGGCAGAAGATATAGACTATATATGTAGAATATATAGTTAAAAATTTAAATGGCATTATTTCCGTACACTCTTGGCTTTGTTTTCCCAAGATAGTCTATGCAACACTGGATTTAGGGCTGTGTGTGAGGTTTCCCCGTGCAGGTGCTGAGCCAAGGGGTCTCAGAACGGAAGGTGAGAGGGAGGGGGCATGAAAATATGAAATATTGGGCAGGGCACCAAATTTTGTCATTGCTCAGGGTGCCATATTACCAAAGTCTAAGGTAGTGCATAGTATATCAGACGTACCATTCTAAGACCTGAGAAGAACCATTCATCCTATGAGATCTTTCTTGATAAAAGTACCTGCTGTGTAAAGATTTGGCCTGACACAGGTAGAAACCCATGGTGGCCTGGAACCCCATGAGTTCTCAGGCATCTCTCAGTATCCTTAAGCAATGATATACACGTTGCAAAGTATGGAATAAAATGGGCCACTTAGCAGCAGACATGGCACACAGCGGATGCATATGTAAAGTGAATGAGATGGCAGCCACGCACCTCAGCTTTGCCCTTCAAGGTGTGATAAGGCTCCTGACCAAACAATTCCTGCTTTCTCCTGTTTTAATGCACAAACCACTTACATGAATGCAGCCATGCCAGCTCACTAAATCACTTAGTTTTGCTGCTTGCCTCAGATTTCCAATGGACCAAGCCTTGGACAGGTTGCATGTCTGGAAGGTTTGAGTTCTTTTTAGTAGGTCACAAATTGTGTCAGCTTGATTTCATACAACTGGTAGAGGAATTTTCTGCTGTTCAAATAAAACATAAAATAGTAAAAGGGGATATTTAGACAAGGTTATAAGAAAACCAATGGGCATCAAGTTTGGGGTTATCCCAAAGGATGTGGCATCTGTGGTGTCCCCTCAAGTAGGTTAGTGGGACTGGTTCATCAGTTGTGCCTTGTTGCTGCTGATCCTTCACAGTGCTGTCTACTGAGGATCAGCAGGGATCAGCAGATGGGATCACATAAGAGATTTCTGTATCCTGCTTAATTAGCACTTTTGCTCCTCCACACCTCTAGACTAAATTTCTTTGAGAAGAATCTGAACCTGTTTCACCACACCCTTTCCTTCCTTCCTTCCTTCCTTCCTTCCTTCCTTCCTTCCTTCCTTCTTCTTTCTTTCTTTCTTTCTTTCTTTCTTTCTTTCTGATTTATCAGGATGTTTATCTTGGCAATTGTGCCAAAGAAAGGCAGCTTCCAAGATTTTGATATGGGTTAGAGTGAACAAGCTGAAGCTTAATCCATACAAGATGGCGGCACCGTGGGTAAAGAAACTGGCTGAGGGGTGCAACTGGTGTGTGTGCAGGGGCCATATTCTCCTTGAAGGGCCATGTTTGCACATGGGAGTCCTGGTATGCCAGCTGTGACCCAACCTAGAAAAAGTAGACCTAGTAGTGGATAGACATGTCCTTGTGACACCCATACTAGACTGCATACATGGGGCTGCCTTTGAAGATTATGTGAAAACTTCAGCTGGTGCAGGAAAGTGGTTGCTAGTGTGCTCAGTGGGACCAGGTGGTCAGATGATATTACACTGGTGGTTCTGTGCTGGTTCTGCTGGTTACCAGTGCATTTCCAGGTCCAATTTGAAGTGCTGGCTTTGTCCTTTAAAGCCTTAAGTGGTTTAGTGCCAGGCTATTTGAGGGGCCACCTGCACCCATATGAGCCCACCCATTGGAAGCCCTGAACAGCCCTGAATAGGCTCATCTTTAAAAATTAGATGACTGGGCACTCTGGTGCGGTATTCAAAGTCTTTAAAAACTGTTTAAAATGGCTTGCAACTGATGTGTTTGATAGGCTGCTATTAGATAATTTTACTGCTGTGGTTGGAAATTGTTTTATTCTGGTTTACATTTTAGTGTATTGCTATTTTTATATTTTGGTGGTGTTTATATATGTGTGTGGTACAGTTGTATTGTTGCCACCTTGGATGGACATGGTCTGGAAAGATGGCTTATATATATATTTTGTGTGTGTGTGTATGGTACAGAAAGGCAAAAGTCATTGCCAGTGGAAAACACTGTAGCAAAGACTAGTGCATTTGTCTACTAATTAATTAATCAATCAATCAATCGGAGGCAGAAGCCTAGGCCAAGAATTCTTTGCAACAATTTACAAAATGCCGCTCCTCAAAGGCAGCAAGTGATCTCATGCAGTGGGGTTTTGGTTAATTAAGAAAAGTAGGAGGAGTTTCAGCAGGAGGAGATCTGGGACCCAAGGGGGCAGGAGAAGGGGAGGATGGGTCGCAGGTTCTCTGTGTTTCAGGTCAGTTACAAAACGAAAGCAAAGCCTTTGGCAAAGCCTTTGTTGTCTATACATGTGTATCTGTCTTCATCAGCCTTGGCCTTGACCGGGGTTAATAAAAGCACTGCTTGCTTTAGGAAAAGCCGAGGGAATGTGACAGGTAACTGAGAAGGAAACTGCCGGCTGCCTTTGGCTTTGCTGTCGTTATTTGTGTCTAACGAGGCCAGCTCGTCGCCAGCCTCTTTGCAAATGAAATGAAGCGATGGGCCCAGCAAGGCAAAGGAGGCGCCGTGTCCTGACAGGCTGAGGTGTGACCTGATGTATCCTAACCATCCCAGACAATGTCAGAAGAACAAGGGAGAAGAGTGAAAAGGTGGAGGGGTCCAAAGTCCGGACTTGGGGTACCCGGAGAAAGGGAATGAAGGAAGAGGATGACAATATGCAACACGTCATGAAAAGGTGGGAGATAAATTATTCTCCTCCTCTTCTTGGTTACTACAAAAGAGTGTATAAGCAATTGATAAAAAGGTTAAAAGCTGAAATGGCATCACATATAAAATAATATGTTTCAACAAAACCATTCCAATAACACACAAGCCCAGCAGAAAAACAGCACTAACTCCAGCAGCAAGACTGTTTCATTCATCAGCCAGTCATCACACAGCTAACAGATGCGTGGGAGAAAAGATAAGTTTTAACCTGGTGTCAAAAGGATGTACTTGATGGCACCAGGTGGGCCTTGCCAGAGAAGAGCATTCCACTGATGGGGATCCACAACTAAAAAAGGCCCTCTGCCTTGGGAGACAAGCCTCAGGTGAAGACTGAGAGGTCCACATAGGGACCTATATAGAGAGGTGCTCTGAAAGGTATTGGGATCCTGAGTCATAAAGGCATAAGGGGCCTTATGATTCAAAAACAGCACTTTAAACTGGGTCCAGAAACACCTAAACATTGAGATCTGGTCAATTTTATCCATATGCTTTAAAAAAAAAGGAGAAAATGCTTTTCATTTTACACTGCAATCCAAACCTCTCTGGAACTGTCCCTCTGCCCGCCCTGGTGTTCTCCACCAGCCTCCACATGTGCTAGAAAAAGCTTCCTTCTGAAGAAGAAGGCAGGAGAGGGGGCCAGCCCGACTCAACCTAGGATTGACTGTATCTCAAGCTGGCCCAATTGCTTTCATGGCAGTGATGGCATAGGCCTGATTCAGAACCACTGGATTCTAAGCTCACTCTGCTATCATCACTTCAGGGCATCAGCCCCACACTTGGTCCAATTGCTGCACCAGTTTAAGGCTTGCACAGCAATTTTGCTGCTGCTCACCTTTCACAATGGTGAGGGTTATTCATTTGCATGTTCAGACCCAGAAACCTCCCCCCTAAATAAATTCATACATGACTCAAATTTTGGTTTGGTTTTTGGTAGAATTTAGGCCACAACTTTATTGATTACAGAAAGTGATTGGTTGCATAGGCTCTGGTTTGACTAGCTCCCTGCCATACAGGTATTGCTGACCCAGGGCACCAGCATAGCTCAGCCTAGGGTGAACACCAGAAAGCCAGGAACAGGCTAACTCCACCACCCAAATGTCCCCCTGGACTCAGGCACGGGCACAACCCTCTCTCAGGGGTTGTCCAAACCATTGAGTCCCTGGATTTCTTTAATGGAA